TGAGCAGTGTGGGGTGAAGGAATGGTCTGAAGGAATATTGCACTGATACAGCAGATCAAGAGAAGTGATCTTCTTAGTTTGATCCAGGATGGGGATAGGCTGCTACCCTCGGGGCATGTCTACAAGAGACATTTACTGTGGAGCTTCCTAATTAGCTCTGCAGTAAAGTCTTTTTTTCTACCTGTGCAGCCCTATTAGGCCACAGTAAACTAATAAGCTCCTTCATATGATAGTACTTGTAAAACAAGCACCATCCTACTGCAGAGTTATTTACTGCAAAGCAGTGCACATGTAGACGCTGACAGAACAGGCTAGGGCATGAGGGTGCTACAGCATGGGGGTTACCTGCTGGCTAACCCTGCACTGGAGCACCCTCATGCTCCAGCCAGCCTGCCACAGCACATTGAGTTGGGTCGGAGCAGCTCTGGGCTAGCAGGCTGATCACCAGGGTCCCCTGCCAGCTGGGACTACTCCAGCCTGGCTCAACATGCTGTGGTTCTGGGCATGTGTGTAAACATGGTGTTTGGGAGCAATAACCTCTGGTACAATATGTAGTTTATTGCTTCAAATTAATTGCACATGTAGACATGCCAACTGGGTCCTGCAAGACAAGGAAAAGCAGGGTTCAGTCTGCTCAGCACCAAGTGGAAATATCATGGGCTGTAGTAGCAGAATTCATCTTATATATATATATATATATATATATCCTGTAATAGGTGGAACTTTTTTTCAGAGCAGAAACTGGGCCATGGTTTGCTCTCTGGCAGATAGGACTGGTTGGTGCAAGGCTATTAGAAACATGGTCGCAGAGGCTTCAAATTCCTTTTTTACTGCCCAGAAAAAACAGCTCCTGGATCAAACATTTTTTTCAATGTCATTTGTGCTCGTTTTATTAATAGTTACTAGAGCTACCAATATGTTACTTGCTGTATAAATAGGCTTTTAGAAAGGCAACTAAAAAGAAGTATATAAGCCTTAGCAAGAGGACAGCAGATGTCTGTTCTTCACTATGAGAAGAACCACCTTTGTAGCACTTGTGTATGGTACTTACAAGACTAATGGAACCATTATATTATGAATTGGGGAACGTTCTTTGGGGTCCCCCCCCCCTTACAACTGCATTTTAATCACCATTGTCTCATCTAGAAGATCTTCCTTTTGATAGCTTTCCTTCTCACTGTGTAAGGTAGTCTGTCCTTGAGGATCCTGGCTCACATTACACATAAGATGTAATTAACCAGTTAATCACATCTCAGACTGTTACCTGGCCACACACTAATGCAATTAATGGCATGATAAGATAAGCAATAAGGCACAAAGCTATTACACAAAAATGTGCAATAACTTTGTAGCTGATTCTTATCACACCATTAATTGAACATGTGGTCAGGCTGGGGTTCCCAGCAGTGGGATGTGCCCCTGTCACTGGAGGTCCTGCCAACTGATGGGGCTTCCAACCGTGGGGGCGAACCATGTCCTTCTGTGTCTAGGAGCCCCATCATCTGATTTGGGCTCCCAGCCATGGGGATGCCTCATGTGGGTTACAGGTAAGAAACCTTTTTCTTGATGAAACTGTGGGAGAAAAGCACGATTTGGTTTAATAATTTGATGAGTTAATTTCTAAAATGTTGCCTGTTTTCCCTAGGCACTGTTTGATTTCTCGGCAACCAATACATTGGAGCTGAATTTTAAGAAGGGTGATTTGATCTATCTTCTCAGCAGGATCAACAAAGACTGGCTGGAGGTAAGACTGCATTAGGACCATGGTAAAAATTGCTCGTAGGGCCTCAGTTATAATGCATCTGAGCCACTTATGATAGGAAAAAACAAATTGAAACAGGTGCAGGAAAGGGCTACTAGGATGCATTAGATGAATACAGAGCCTATTATAAGAAGATGAAATGAAATTGAGTTGTTTAGCATAGCAAAAGAAGTTTGGGAGAGTATATTAAGTCATAGAATCATAGAGCTGAAATGGACCTCTAGAGGTCTAGTCCAGCTTTCTACTCCAACCAGGATCATGCCTGTCTAAACCGTCTCATCCAAGGGTTTGCTAATCTGTTCTTAAAAGCTTCCAGGGATGAAGATTTTGTTCCATTGCTTAACTGTCTTAGTAGTGAAAAAGTTCTTTCTAATCTCTAGTCTAAATTTCCCTTGTTGCAATTTAAGACTGTTACTTCTTGTCCTGCTCCCTGTGGTCTCACAGAATAGTGTGTCACCATCTTCTTTATAATCACTCTTCAGGAATTTGAACACTCTCATTAAATCCCTTCTGCTGTCTCTTCTCCAGGCTGACTAATCTCAGCTTTCTAGCTTTCCTCATATGTCATGTTTCCTAGATCTCTAATCAGTTCTGTTGCTTGCTGCTGGAGGCAAGGCTTCCTGGTGAGGCCTCAGAGTGGACCAATCACTTCCTTTGATGTACAGATAACACTCCTGTTAATACAACCCAGTATGCCTGTTTTGCAACAAGAGCATACTGTTGATACACATTTGGCTTGCAGTCCACTGTAACCCTAAGGTGTTTTTCTGAAATACTGCAGCCTAAGCAGCCGTTCTCTAATTTGTATCTGTGTATATGATTATTCTTTATAAATATGTTCCAGGGGGTTAATACCAGGGAGGGTACGTCAATTAAAGGATTGTATTGGTACAAGATAAAATTTAAGTCCAGATTGTTCACTGATGATTTTAGACAGAAAATTGGAAGGTTTCTAACCAGCAGAGGAAAGATGTTCCAGAATGACCTCTGAATAGGATACTGCTGGCAAGGAATCTAAATAGATGGAGCTTGATGAGTTTATGGAAAAGGTGATAGGATAGGATAGATGTGTTCATGGAGTAGTAACCAGAGCAGGTAGTCTGAGGTTTTATGAGTTTGTTATCTCCAAATGGGGCTTGAAAGGAAACTTTGTAATGCTGTATGTTATTTGCATATATGGGAAATTTTGGTGGCTTAGGGCTTCTTGACTTTACTGATGGAGAAGGCAGGATCTGGTGAGAGCAGTTGAAGCTAGAGAAAGTGGTTTCACCTTCCTGACTTGAACACTCGAGTGGCTTTTACTCTGGGTTGGTAGGCTTGCAATAGCCCAGGATTGAGTTTTGAGAATGTGCTATAGTTTAGATGACAGGGAATTTGAAATGTTATTGTGCACAGGTAAGGGCAGGCTGTGTATTTGCAACAGCCGTTTTTGGATTGAGTTTCTTTTCCTTATTCACCCTCACTGATCTGTTTACAATGCTTGCTGCACTGTATTATATTGTGTTAATTCTATTCTTCAAGGCTTACATGCAGTGCCCTCACCAGGGCTTCTGCCATTGCTGCTGCCCCCATGCTGCTCCACCTCTCCCAGCCCTGGTCTGGTCTTGGTCTGTGCTTCCGAATGTGTGGTGGGATGTGGAGTCACCTCCAGATCTTCCCCCCTCCCTCCTCCACCTGCAGGCTGCACACTCTGGGTTGGAGGAGATGGGCAAGGAGAGGGGTGAAGGAGGCTAAGGTCCTCCCACTTGCTGGGCTCGGCGGTGACACATGGTCAGCCTCCCGAGTCTTGATGTAGACATGCTCACTCTGTATTCATGCTAACCCACAATGACATATTAACAAAGGACTTGGGCAATAGTCTAAGAGACAGTGAGGAAGGGTATTCAGTATGTCTGCTGATCTGGTATTTGCTTTCTCAAACAGGACAGTCTTGGAGGGTAAATATCTGACGTGCATATTATGCACTGCTCTTGTTCCTCTTTATTTGACTATCCAATGCAATAGGTATACAATCGGCTTATTTCTATTGCATTCCTCCTTTAATGATCATATCGGGATAATTCTGCTTGTCATCTCTACAGAAATGGCTTCAGTTTCCACAGCCGATCAAATGTAGTAAAAATAATACACTCTTCTTCAGTCTGTTCCCTTTCTCTCATTCCAGGGAACTGTTTATGATGCCACTGGAATTTTCCCATGTGCTTTTGTGAAGGTCATTAAAGACTTACCAGAAGAAGAAAATACTATGAATCGTCTGCGCTGTTATTACCATGACAGCATTGTTAGCATCATCAGGTAATGAGATGATGCTCTTCAGGTTACTGCTGGAAAGATGTTTGTAATTCTGTTTTAATTACATGAAACAATAATGTTTGTTCATCTTCTAGGAACATAGCAGTGGAAGAGGATCTGAGCAGCATCCCACCGTTCCAAGACCTCATGGAATTAATGAGGTACAGTGCAGATGGAGGGAGTTGCATTTAGTATTGATTCAGAGATTCACTTAGGCATATATCCTGAGTTTCTTTCAGTCCTGGCTGTGTTACGTTGTCCAGCCATCCCAGTGTTCTGGATTTAAAACAATCTGCCCAGATACTCCAGAGGCTTTGTAGTTGCTACTGTTTCACCCAGTACCACTCTGAACAGATACCAGTCTGTTTTAAGGGGACCTGATCACCTAGTACACTTCCTTGGTATGTGGGATGCACTGTGCAGCTCCTTAGATCCCCATAGTAGTGTTTGAGACCTCCCAGTGCCCTTCCTGACATTTTACTCACTCCCCAGGAGTATCCCATAGGCTATAGGCAGACTGGGCTTCTCATTTAGGCCTTTCAATGGTGATGCATTGGAAAAGCAAGGAATGGGCTCAGCAACAATGGGCTCAGTAAAAGAAGTTCTTAACCACAGTTACTTCACTCAAGTGCTTTTGGGGTCAGAGAACTTTGAAAATAAAAGTCCTGAGTGGACCTTCCTCCAGTTCGATCCCACTCTTGTAAGAGAGTCTGATTTGTATCCAGCCTTTCAGGGTAGGTGGACTCCTTCTGAAAGTCATTCATATATGTAGTAATGATTGGTCCCTATGCACAGAGCAGCCTCCCCACTCCAACACTTAAGTAAAGTCTTTATCAGTATATGACTGCTGTGTCTACTGGGATGGACTAACTCCCTTTATTAGTCATACTTTTCTTACTTCCCCTTGCTATGCAGGCCCTTGTGTATAAAGGCTAGGAATGGCAGCATTTTGCCTGAACATTCATCTGCACAAGAGGAAGAAGGCATTAACATTATAGATATGCCTACGTGGAGCTGTGCATTGTGACCATGTACAAAAATGACTGTAATGTTACACAAGCGTTATTCATTATCATTTGGGATTGCATCTTTTCTGAGGAAGACTTGAGCAAGCCTCTGCCCACATTAGTTCACTGCATAGTGTTGCAAGTCTACCACAGGCATTGTTCAACTTTTCAGAGGAAAAATTGAAGAAGCATTACTTTAATTTTGAATAACAGAGATATGCGCTAAGCAAACCTACTCCCCCGTCCTCTGAATAACACGATTTCACATTCATCTTTCTTTAGCATATGATCTGGCACTCTGTAATGATGTTTGAAAACACCAGTGCCTACTGGCAGTCAAACACTACAAAACCTCTCTAGTGAGAAGCATTGCTGATAGCATTATCAACAAGTCATTGTCTTGGATGTTGCTCTCTGTGGGTCATCTGTACAAGGGGTGGGGAAAGTGACCCTGGTCTTTTCTCCAGGGTTCAAATTACACTTTGACTTTTGTGGGGGGTCTGCAAAAAAAATTGGGCTGCCCACCACAATGTCCTAATAAAATCAGAGACCTCTCAGATTATGATTTTCAAATGATTTTCACACACCCCCCTCCGAGGTCCCCCATAATTCAACCCCTGCTTTTCTCCATATCTGGATAGTGTCAAAGTGGAGTATGCTACTTTGCATGATATACCCCATGCAGAGTATTATACAACTGCAAAATGTTGTTGTTTTTGCAATCTCATTAATTGGTATAGGAAGAGTTAAATATCCCTGAAAAGTGGGTGTGCTTCTATCCCTCTAGAGTTCCAAGTAGAGGGCAGGGGTCTCTAGTACATTATTAATTGTTCAGTAACTTCCTGGCATTAAGTTAATAGAATTTAATCCATTTTTTCTTCCCCAGGCGGGAATTTGATCACGAAGATATTGTTCTGAATTACCAGGACTTTGACGGTGACATGATTCGGCTGCTTTCTGACCAGGATGTTGAACTCATGGTGTATCAGAACAGAAACAGGCCCTCTGAGAAGCATGTGTTCCCCTGGAAGTTACACATCACCAACAAGGATGACTTCAGTGTCTACAACACCAGTCCTGGAAGTGGTGCTGTTCAGGAACCAGGAATTAATATGCCATGATTGCCAGGGAGTGGTACCTCACAGATGGCTGTACCCCTTCCCTTTATCTAGTCTGTAGAACTTCATATTCTCCTCTCTAAAACCATATAAAATAAAAATGCTCCCCCAGCAGCTCTGTCTGAGGTGAGATGCTGGTGATTCAGAAACAACATACGTGGAGAGAGAACTTTTGTATTGTAGAGCAGCTGCCTCTTCCCCTCTCTCTACATGCATCATCTCAGATTGTTGGACTTGTATATACCTACACTAAATGCAGAGGAAATTTGGGGTAAGCAGTTAGGTAGCCTTCAGGCATCCATCTTACTTGGAAAGAAAGTGGATTAAGGTGTTTCCTGTATGGAATGAAAAAAAAGTAATGCATAATAATAGAGTGCCTTTCAGCAGAGGATTTGTATTTAACTAGCTCATTTGGTCTCCCAGCATTCCTATTTAGCTGTATTTAAAGATGGGGAAACTGAGGCTCAGAACAGTGAAATTGCTTGCTGATGATCATGAAACAAGCTGGTATCAGAGCTACAAATAGAACTTAGTGGTCCTAACTCCCAGGTTCCTGCTCTAATGATCTGAGCTTTGCTTCCTAGACAGTTATTTCCCCCTCAAATGCTTTCTGTTCATCTTTAACATGATAGGATGAATGTCTTGTTGCTGGTTTTTCTAGATGGAGCTGTTATTTCTGTGGGCAGGAGTTACATTGGGAAACCAGTTTCTTTGGAAGCACTGAAGAAACATATTGCTGCTTCATGGTTTGCTTTTCGATTCCCTTGAATAAAATAAAATAAAAAATTCAAGGTTTTTCCTTAAATGTGTTTTTTGTGACAGTGTTTCTAACTGTACCAATGCACTTATACTGTGGTGATTTATGGGATGTTTTGTCTGATGTATTTCTTTGACTGATGTAATTGCTTGCCCAAATTTCACTTCCCCTTCTTTCACCACCCCTTCTTTTTGATGCTTGCACGCTGGTTCATGTAGCACAAGTATCAATACATCATTGTTATTCTGAGTCCTTCAGTGAGTTAATTTTACACCGGAGTTAATGTTCTCACTCCTGTCTTTCAGTTGCTTAGCATGTTCTGAAATTTGCATTCTGGGGCTGGATTTTCCATGCTTTGTCTGCCTAAGCAAAATCTGTTGACCCATTCAGGAGGAGAAAATATGTTATTAAAAAAATTATTGCACTAATATTTGGAGTAACTCTGCAACTGAAAACTAGTTTTCCCTCTGATCAAAGACTGCACCTTATAAGTAAACTTCTTTCATTGTTATACAGCAGTTGTATATCCCTGTGAGACTATATATTCGGTCTGTGCGAAGCGGCTAGTATTCACTGCAGATTTGGATTCGGCCAATTTGGGGGACAGTGATTAGATTCGGTGAGTCGAATCGCTGTCCCAATTCGATTTGGCCGAAACAGCCAGGCCTGGCCCATCCCCTGCCTCCTGTCCCTGCCTGGCAACAGCTGCTCCTCCTGCCCCAGCTCCCGGCTCTTTGGAAAAAAAGGCCTCAGCTCTGGCCCTTTAAGAAAAACCCCCCCAAGAAAACCCCTAGACTTACTGCTCCTGCCAGCGGGGGCGATCCCCGCTGCCCCCCACTGCTCCATGCCATGTGGGGGGCTCTACATGAGCCCCTGAAGCCCTGAGACTGCTGCAGGAGCCTGAGTCCTGGGGTTTTCTCTGTTTTTTTTTTCTTAAAGGGCCAGAGCTGGCCCAGGTGGGGCACCTGCCTCCCCCCCAGCCTCACCTGCTCTGCCCCTACTACTTACCAGCTCGGAGTCAGCTGCAGCTCCCTGTTGCAGCCACCAGGGATTGCCCAAATCATCAAAGCTCTCCGTATCTTTGCTGAAGCTTTGGAGAGCTTTGAAGTGATTTGGACCTTTAAATTGGTCCCCTGATTCGATTCAGATTCGGAGATTCGGCCACCGAATTGGGCCGAATCTCCTCCGAATCAAATCACCACCCGAAGTTTTGCGCAGCCCTACTATATATGCAGAATTCTATGCAATCATGTAACTAGAGAGTATATTGTAATGCAAGTTCATCAGCTAACAGTTTTTGGAGATTGCATGTATGCTTTTAGAGATACCATGAAAATGAAATCCAGTCATATTTTTAAAGCAAATTCCATTGACTTTTTATAGGTTTAGAATCACATCTTCCTATCTTAATAAATATGTGTTTTTATTATCTTTTGTGGAACCCAAACAACTGACACCAGGGACTGATTAACTAAATGAATGTACTGAAGAAATGGTGAAATCGGTCATGCAGAAAGTAAGAAAAAATGAAAAAAAAATAGAAAGAACAGTGTCCTTGTGCACCCCTTTTCTTCTCCCCCATTTTCTTTTGGTTCTTTTAGAGGTTAATTGTAACAAGAGCCAAGAACAAAATTCCCAGCAGAAGTGTGATTTTTAAGTTGATGTATCAACTTAAAAGAAGCTTGAGAGAGTCCAGAAAAGAGCCACTCATATGATTAAAGGCCTGAAGAGCAAGCCATACAAGGAAAAGCTGACAGATTTGGGACTGTTCAGCCTAGAAAAGAGAAGTCTTCGGTGGGATTTGGTGGCAGCTTGCAAATGTATGAGGGGAGAGCATTAGGGGCTACGCGAACAACTGTTCACCAAAGCACCACAGGGGAAAACCAGGACCAACGGTCATAAAGTCCTAGAAGAAAGTGTCAGGCTGGATATAAGGAAAAACTTCTTCGTGGTCCTTGTGCCCAGGCTCTGGATTAGACTCCCAGCGGGGATGGTGCAGGCATCTACCCTGGAGAGTTTCAAAAGGAGACTGGACGCACACCTTGCTGGGGTTATTTGACCCCAGCAGCCTTTCCTGCCCAGAGCAGTGGGGGCTGGACCTGATGATCTCACAAGGCCCCTTCCAGCCCTAAACTTCTGTGAACTGTGAATCCCTTTAACTTTGCCATTTCCTATAAAATCTCAATGCTTTATTAAGCTACAATCTGACAAGGGATTCTGCAAGTCCAGTGGAAAAAAGGGGAACGTGTTAAAAGGAAGCAAATATTTATGTGCTTTGCTATACGATTTTTTGTATGCCGTTTTTTTATTAACTCTATCATGCCATTAGTATACTCAGTGCTGTACAGACAGGTAAAAAACGGTGTCTCAGATTTAAAAAGCTTATAAAATGCTGGAAGCCCTCCCCTTGTTCCCATTTTGCATATGGGAAGGTTCCAGCTGATACTTCTATACCAGTGGTTCTCAACCTTTTTGGATCTGAAGTACTCCTCACTGGATTCAAGGCATCCCTTCTTATGACTTGAGTGGCACCCAGTTTCAAAAACAATGTATTACAGTGCTTACCTTTCTGCAGAGGGGCCCAGGTAGGGGGTTAATGAGCACAGTCAAGCCTGAGTCTGCAATTATCTGCTTATATCCTCACACCTGGATTATCTTCTCATGCTTTGCAGCACCCTTCAAAGGATCTGGTGGCACCCCAGGGTGCTGTGACACCCTGGTCGAGAATCACTGATCTATGCACATTTAAGTGAATAACACATTCCTGGAAGAGACTCAGGTGGTATTTTCAATGTCCATGATCTGAAAATGAGACGAAGGTCTGATAATTCACCCCTGGGGTCTTTGTGTGCCCTTCCTAGACTCTGGCAACTCTTCATAGTCTAGCTCAGGGGCCAGTTCTTGGAAAATGGATGTGAAACTCTATAGCATCCTTGGATAGATTTACCTACCTAGGTTCTCTTCTCTCCAGTTTTCTTCTACCTATCTTCTACCACTTCTGTGCTCTCTAACAATCACAACAGTGATTCATTTCTTATATTTGTTCATGTTTGTTATTGTTCTTGAGCAGATACTCCAAAGATGGTTGAAATCACTGGGAATCTAAATGCACATGCATTTCACAGACATGTAGAAAAGAGCTGTCACTGCCCCAGGGAGCCCAGGATCTTGGTAATGGTAAGATTCAGAATGGGAATGGGACAAACAAGGAACATGGAGGGAAGGACTGTTAAATTCTTTTCAGTAGTCTGTTAATGTTTGTCTACCATGACACCCCTCTGGAACACATCCTCGCCTCCTAAAAGTTAATGATGAACCCATGAGCAGGATTAGCTTGATAAGCAAATTTGCCTGATCCCCCTGGAGCACAGGCAAAACAAGCCCTATGCTATTTTGTTGCAGGATATTGTGCGTCAGTTTAGCTGAATTCTTGCTGCGCTCTATTAACTGATGTTTGCTAAGCCAAATTATGAGAGTCATCTCTGTGTGTATGTACCCATCAAATATTAACTGGCCATCAGTTTTATCCAGCACACTAACACCCAACATCAGGCACCAAATTGCTACAAAGCCCCGGAAAATATATTGAATAATCCAAAGCTACTTCTAGCTAGTGACCTATGGACTGTTCTCTGCCTGTGTTTTTTACCAAGAGAAGACCCATGTTGCTTGTGCTACTCACTCACTATACCTCAGGAAGTCTCTACAGTGTTCTGGAGAACAAAACAGCAAAGGTCTGTTCCTATAGCAAAGAACTTGTTCTTCATCTCCACACCTGATAGGAGATTATCTGATTTTCAGCTCCCACATCTATTTATAAAGCAAGCTGAACCATGTCAGGTGTAGTTTAGTGAGATGTGGAAAGAATGAGCACCCTTGGGGAATTAGAGGCAGTCTACATTTTGACTGTGGACAAACTGGGCACATGTACATGTGGTATTAATGCACCTGAATAAGCTCTGGCACAGTTCGCACTAGAGTCAGCTCCACCCAGATGCTGCATCTTCATGTGCACCCAGGACTGCAGCAGTTTGAGCCGGGGTAGTCCCAGGTGCATGTGAAAACGCTGTGCCTAGAAGCAGCTGACCCAGAGCAAGGGGCCTTGGGGGCAGGCCTGGTTGGTGAACTCAGACTGGTGGGGTGGGTGAAATGACACATGGGAATGGGGAAGGGGGGTGGTTTGCAGCCCCTACCACTCTGAGTTCACCAGCCGCGCCTCCAGATAGTGGCCTCAGGTGGTGGAAGGGCTGGCTGGGGCACAAGGATGCTACAGTGCAGGACTAGCCAGCAGGCAGCCCTTGCATTGTAGCACCTTCATGCACCAGCCAGCCCCGGTCACAGTCTACACATGCGTCTCAGCGCATGCAAGTACTCCACCATAGGATAGTACTTGTGTTGGGCAGTACTATCCTACGGTGGAGTGAATTAGTTTACTGTGCCCTAATATGGGTGCATGTGTAGGCTGTGATGCTTTACTGCAGAGCTAATTAGTCAACTACAGTAAAATGCACTTGTAGAGGCAACCACTGAAGATGAAAGACACACAGTGGAAGGTGGCTCTGCACAGGCAGCAGAAGTCTGGGGCTAATGGGGCTTAGCCCCCGCAAACACGGGGCAGCGGTGGCAGCACAGAGCACAGCAGGGTAGTCTGGGTGCAGGCTCCAGGCAGTTGCAGCAGGGGGAAAGAGGGGCACGGAGACAAATGAGCTGCCAGAGCCTGCAGGCAGCCGGGAACTCAGCTTGGCCCTGCTGTGTGTGGAGCAGCGCCCAGCAGGTAAGTGTGTAGGGGAGAAGGAGGGGGAGGGAAGGGGTGCAGAGGGGAAGATTGAGGCCCCCTGTGGTGAGGGGCAGGGGCTGAGGTGAGCAGGACCCTGGGTGGGTCGTAGGAGGGTCAAAGCCCGGGCAGCTCATCCAGAGGCAAGGGGGGGCTCCCTCCACTGCGTGCACCCCCAGGGCAGGCATGGGGGGCATGTCCCCCCTGGATCTGTGCATGGGGCAGAGGCTGGCTGCCACTGAAGGCTGGGCTCTGTGCCTTACT